TTCTAGAAAGTCAGGCCACATGTCTGGAAATTTCGTTTAACAAAAGGGAGGGGCAGAATGACGGGGACCACTACAAAATTGAGGAATGTTTTTTCAAAGTGACAGGAAAAGTATCGATATGGGGAAAAACAGAGAGCTCATAGCCCGGGTACATCCTTACGGTAAGATTTCGCATACCGTCTTAAGAGCATGAAAAGAAAAAACTTTACCCAAAAGGGGTGGAGCCTTTCCAATACTTTTCAGAAAGATAGGGGAAAGGAAATTGGCAAATAAAAAATTTTTGTCCCCGTTCGTCTGAAACAGCGTGGAAAGGTAGTGAAGGACGTGTCGATCGTTTCTGAAAGAACGAAAAAGGGGGAGAATACCAGCAGGTAAAATTTTCGTTGGCGTTTAGGCGTGGGACCCGAGTGTCCGCGGGAACGGCGGGGATTTGAAAAAATTGCCGCACCGAAGGGGGAAAGGGCCGAAGCAACAAGGAGACGAAGGGGCCGTAAATCGATGGAGTCGTCCCAGGCCCCCAGCACCTAACGGGGGAGGAAACAGCCCGCAAAGGTACAGAGGGATGAGGAAGCGAAGATGGGCCCAAAGACAGCGGGGTCAAACGGGCGGGATCAAAAGGGGGCCCGGGGGGACCAGTTTATGGGCTAGGGTGCCATGGGTTGGGTTTTCTTCTTTCTTTTTTTTTTAAAAAAAAAAAAAGAAAATAAAAATAAAAGAAAAAAAAAAAGGGGGCCCCGGGGGGGATAGGGCCTAGGGGAAGAAAGGGCCAGAAATCTCCCTCCGCGCCCAAAGGACCCAGCACCGCAAGACCCAGATCGCTGAACCCGTGCCATCCCACCCACATGCAGTAAACTAACAATCCGGGGTACAACCTCACATCTGCCCAGCTACCCCGTGGACAAAGGGGGGCGGCCGGGTTCCGCCACAAAGCATACCCCTTCGGCCACCCCCCCGGAACCGAAAGGGGCTTCCAGAAACCTCTCGCCCGAAAGACACCCAAAGCACTCCGGGGTACCGGAGAGGGTCGGGGGCATCCCCCGGGGGATCCAGATTTCCCCGGCAAAAACCCACCGTAAGAACCCCCAAAAGGGAAAGGGAGGCCCCGTATCCTTTCCTCCACCCAGGAACTAGCCGCCTGTGGGGGAAATCCCAAAGGACAAAAAAGGAAGGGCAAAAGGGGGGGGTGGGAGGGGAGGGAAAGGAAAAAAAGGGGGGGTGGGGGGTGGGGAAGGGGGGGGGGGATTGGGGGTAAAATTTGGTTTGGGGCTGAGGAAGAAGACCGATAGGGGCTAATTCCCAGACCAAGAGCCCTTTACCACGCCCCGGAGCCCCCCTTGAAGAGGAGCTTTAGAAAAGCTTCTTACTGACATTTGTGTTTTAATATATTTGTTTAAAAGGGGGTTATGGGTTTGGCGTGATACAACTTTTTCCTTTATAGTGATTTGTGCATTTATGTTTTCTTTTTGTTTTAATAGTTAGCATACTCCTTTTTATTTCTTTTCCCCGTAAATTTTTTTTTGGGGTTTCTTTGGTCCATTTTCGTGGCGGGGCCTATAAATGACAATACTTAGCCATCTTATTTACGGGGGCGTTTTTCAAACAGGTGTTTTAACATTTAAAAAGGGTTAAAAAACCGACAGGTTTTTAGGTAAGACACACATGCAAAAGTTAGGTATCTTATTTTGAAACTTTTCGCCAACGGGACTTCATCGAGTACAGAAAATTGAAGAAGCAGAAGATACTTGAAGACGATGTAAACAGTCCTCACCCTTAAAGTTTTGAGGGGTCATCCCTCAGTCTGGGGAAAAAGCATTTTTCCATATATAAACAATAGGGAGAAGTGACAGATGGACCTTATTAACGCCAGGAGGTAGGGGCCTGAAAGGTAAAAACGCAGATGTTGGGGGTCAGGTCCCTCTCAAACCACCGTTCCACTAGAGAGGTTGTCGAATTGATTGAGGGCTTACCAAGATACCCTTTTGGTGCATTCTGACAATTGAACATTAAAAAGGATATTTGTTATAATACTTTTTAAACCCCCAGGAAAAAACCCGGGACTAGTCGAAAAATTTTTTTTTTTTTTGTCTCTTATTTTGATCTTGTACTTTTTTTAAGGTTTTTAATAAAAAAAAAAAAAAAAAAATTTTTAGCCTCTGGACCTTTTTTATGTATTGCCCTCGAGCCCTTTTCATTAACAAACTACCAGTTATCAAGGATTGCCACTTCCAAACTTTTCGCATGGTTTCCCCAACCTTTTATTTTGGCCTATTCAAACCCTTTTTCACCCTAGTCACGTCCCTTTTTCCCCCCCTTCAAGACTGTCAACTCAAAAAGGGGCATTCGAATAACCTTATTTTCACTCTAAATTTCTTTTTCTAAAAATTTCTGAAGCAAAAATTCAAAAAACCAAAAAATTTAAAAGAATACCAGGTACTGAATTCATTTTTTCTGAAAATTTCCGTCATGAAAACAAAACTGTTTTCTAGCAAATTTTTTGGGATAAGCGGAGGGCAGAACATAGGTAATTTTCATCCTTCAATCTACTTTGTTGCACAAAAACAAAGCAACAGAGTTGAAAAGCGTTGGTCTGGAGTTTTCCAACCATCAGCAGGTTCAAGCCCCACCTGTGGTATAGTTTGAAAAGACTGACTAACAAAGATATGTCGACACAAATGGAAGCAATGCATGATGGATATCTCTTTCTGCCACTTTTGGGTAGGAATCGCACAAAAAAGTCAAAAAGTCTGATTACTTTCTCATCGAACATATCTCTTGCTGCCAAATCTGTCTTCATTCCTTAAATTCGTCTTGACATTCAACTAACTTTCAACTGACATTTTAAATGGATTTAGCACTAAATCCAACTCCTCATCACTAAGTTCAGGAAAACAACGGCCGAGTTTATTTTCTAGTGATGGCAAATGCTGCTATTTTTTGGGGTGGAGGGGGGGGGGGGCCAAACTCTGGAATCAGTCTTCAACACTAGCAACGTAAATTGAACAGTTTCTTAAACATTTAAGCACTTTTGTTCTTGCACTTTCTATCTCAGTTTTTCAGCTTGCTCGTAAAAGCTTGCAAGGAACCCATGAATTTTATGATTTATACATTTTTTGCTTCTGAAGATTCAATTTATTCAGCTGCGCAAATATGTCTAACAAATATGCAAGGCGCATGATCCACTCCTCAGTTTTCTGAAGTTTACCAGAAGAGTGGAAACAACTATTAATAAAATTGCAAATCGAAACTTTCATTGAAAATTTACTATGCTAAACTAACCAGAACTAAAAATTTGAAACCAATGACAAGAGGCATCCTTAAGTGATAGCAAAGATTCCAACTGTTCGATAGTTTCTAACTATAGTATGCTAGGATTCACTGACTTCAAATCAGTCCCTCAGCCTTGGAGTTGAAGAGGGACTGATTACGTCATTTTGTATACAGTTTACCGTTTTTCCCCAATATGTCCTTTAATTTGAATTGATAAAGCCACTGGATGGCGAAAAGTCTACAATAAAGATACCCAAAGGATGCACATTTGTCTTAATTCTCCAAAATGTCTGTATTGTATGCCACAAACGTACAATATTGTCTTCGTATGATGCATCAGATATTTAAAATTAGCAGTTCTGAGAAATACACTTATCCTGACTAAAGAATAAAAATTACAAAGTAAAAGGACAAATGCAACTAATGTGACATTTTATTGTGACAACGTTTCGCTCTCCTGGAGCTTTATCAAGCTCCTGGAGAACGAAACGTTGCCACAATAAAATGTCACATTAATTGTATTTGTGTACTTTTACTTTATATATTGTCGGTAATTATACCAAATAATACAATAAAAATTTCACACTACACAAAATAGGCAGGCGAGTATTTACACTACAGTCACTTTCCATCTTCGTACAAGTAAGATTTTGTTTGAACTTACTAAGTCAAACTTGAAAATTAATGGACTTGCTTCAGGAAGCTTTGAAAGAACTCAATCTTGGTCATTGGGTAACCTGCAGGTGTAGATAGTTACACGAATTTTGTCGTTGTTACAGTACAGCAGACGTGGAACTAAAATAAAATCTTAGGAAGAAAAATCAGGCAATCACTTAACTTTTCTTAAAGAGGATACCTGTTCAATAGAACAACTTCAGAGCTTAAGTGTATTTCAATTAATGACTGAAGCTACAACATTCTGTATATCACCAGACTTGCTCATTTATTAACTATTCAATCTGTGGGTGATGTTAGTAGATATGCCTTCAACGATTTCAATCTCTGAATTAGGAAACCAATCTCAAAACAGAAATTGACGAGGAGTAAGGCGTTGGGAAGGTCAGCAAGACTTGCTATGCTCAAGTCAAAAAAGGGAATTAAAAACTTAAGAAAACTCCAGCCTTTGAGATTATTAGGTACAAGAAAAAATTAAAAAGGTAATTCGTTCAAAAAAAAAGTCCGTAAACGGACATACCACCACAGCAAGACAAAGAAAATGGTGACCAAAAGTTTTCCTGGTCCTTACACTAGTAATCGAAGTATGGCTTAAGCAAGTTTAAACCACTCTTCAGTAATGTGTCCAGCCTTGAACCGCACAACTAATCCGGAGCACATACATGCAGGCGATTGAGCAATGTGTGCGCACGCTTTATCCTTAATCTTAGGAATTGAAATTTAATAGCTTACCTATTCTTCCAAAGAAAAATTAGAAAATAGGGCGTCCAATCAGAATCATGACATCCTCGAAAATACAAACTGGCAGTGCGCTCTTTTAAAAGAACTATGTAGCGAAAATAGGAAGTCTAACGAGACTTTTTGCATAAAGTTATTCCTATCCCACCTATGCGAATGCTAGTGACTACACAAAAAACATTTGAACCCCTCTGAACAATATGCATCATACTTGAAAGCTTACTGTACATAGTAGGCAGCCTGAATATGTGTATGGAGTTTATAAAATAAGGGTACATCACACGAGAACTACGGAAAGCTACTTCATGGTCTGTTCTCACCTTCACAGTATTTTAGTTTAACCGGAACAATAGTCGCAGTAAAGAAGGGTGCTACGGTAGATGGTTTTGCGGCACAAATAAGCTGTATACACATCTCTGGAAGCACTTCGATTACGCTACCTAGCTTGTACAACAAACCATTGTAACAGCAACCTGTCGATAAACAATATAATTAAAAAAAATTCATAAGCAACACTACTTAATCGAGTAAACTAGTACAGTTCTTTATAGGTATATTGTTATGCTTTTTTTTTTGTAGCATGTACTCCCACACCTCTGGATACCTGGCCACATAATCAACAGCCCCTTGATCTGTGCAACACTTCCTAAAGTGTTCAGACGACAAAACGCTACAGTATGACAGTGCAGAAATGCAGCTATTTTCTTTCAGTTTCAAAGAAATAATTGTCACTTCTGAAAGCATTCAATTAATACTTTTCTTTCTGCTCTCAGTATGTTCCCAGCGGTCAATGGATGAATAAACTTTGCTTGCAACTCTAGTGTCTTAAAATATGCTGTACTTTTTCCCAAAATTTTAAACCCAGCCCTTATACCATTATTAAAATTTTGGGGCAACGCCCGGCAGCCCAGTTCCCTTCGGGTTTTTGAAAATGTAATTTTTTTTTGAAAATCAAACCGATAATAAAAAATGTTTGAAATAAAGTTTCAGGGTAGTCTTAATGATTAGAAAGCGGTTTTTTTTTTTTTTTCCCAACATTAAAGTTTTTTTTCCAAATCAAACTTTTTTTTTTTAATTTAAAGGAAAATTTTTGGACCAAAATCAATAGTTTTCTTAAATAGTTAAACTATCCCCGAAGACGAACCCCACTTTTGATTAAAATTTTCCAATTAATTTTTTTAAAAAAATAAAAAAATTTTAAAGCAAGTATATGGCAAAAAATTGGACTCTGGGGTATAAATTTTTGAATTTTTTACCTTTAAGAAAACATAGGACCTTATTTTTAAACTTTATTGGTAATTAAAAAAATCTGCATAATTTTTAATTTTCTAAAATAAAAACAGTTTAAAATTTAATTTGGGAAAAAGAAATTTCCCCCTAACTACCCCCTTATTAAGCTTTTTTTTTCCCTTTTGAAAACTAAGGTTAGCTGGAAAAAAAAATTTTTTTTTTTAAAAATGGCTTAAAACCCTAAAATTTAAAAGTCCAGGGGGGGGGGAAAATTTTAAAAATTTTGGTTTTGGGGCCCTTCCCAAAAAAAAGTTCCCCTCAACCAAAAAAAATTTGGGGTTTTCTAAAAAAATTTTCAAAACCCAATTTTAAAATTATTTTTTAAAAATTGTAGGGGGTTTTAAAAAACCCAAAGGTTTTTTCCATTTTTATTCTTTAAAATTAGTGCCTATGAATTTTTTTTTTTTTTTTTATTTAAAAACCCGAACCAAAGTATGGAAACTAACCAAATTACAAGAAAGGCATAACAATTTTTTAATCAATTTTTTACACAAACTGAGGACTTTTTTAAAAACAAAGGGTGTGAAAAATCAAAATTTGTTCTTAAAAGGGGGGCCTATAAAAAAAAAAAAAAAAAAAGAACCTCCCAAAAAAGTTAAACCCCCCCCCCCCCCCCCTTTAAATTAATAACGGGGGAAAAAGCTAAACCCTAATTATAAGGCCCAGGGGGATGGGGAACCATCAAAAGGTTTTTAAATTTTCGGGGAACTGTCCAATTCAACCCCCAAAAAAAACCCCCCCCTAAAATCAAAACCCCCAGGGGGGCCCCCCCCCCCCCCTTAAAAAACGTGCCATTTTCCCCCCACCCTTAGATACACATGACAAACTTTTTTACATTTGTAAAAGCTTAAAAATTCAAAGAAAATATATAAAAATTATATATATATATATATATATATTATATAAAATATAATATTTTATAATATAAAAAAAACCACCAGCTAAAGGGCTGACACTAAATAAAAGGAAGTCTAAACCGATGTCACATCCCCCATAGAACACAATCCCCCCTACCCCATTCCCCCTATGGTAAAAATTTTATATCTGCACGGTGGGGGGTTTAAGCATACCGCGACACTTCAACCCCCCCCCCCCAATGCCTAGTACTGTTGCCTCCCCCTAAAACCCCAACCCGCCCCTTGATAGTAATTACGTCCTTTATATCCCCCTAAAACAGTAAAAACCCCCAACCTACCACAAAAATAAATAAATTTCACATTATTCCTCCGCAGACTTTATTTACACGCCGGGATAATCTATAATCACTCCACAGAGAATGGAAAAACCTTTAGACATCTAAAATATGACGTGTTCACAGCCCCGCTATTGCAGAGTTTACTTAAATCCAAAACCCCCCCCCCCCCCCCCAAATAAAAAATGCCCTTTCACCGGGCTATACAAAAGATAAAAAAAACTCGTTCACTTAAACTATAAAGAAATTGAAAAAAAAATTAACAATATAAAAGCAAAAACACCCCAGGAAAGTCTTCATTATATACAATACCAAAACTTTCCCATATTAAAAAAAACAGGTATAAACCTCTTATTATGAAAATTACATTGCTCTTATAGGTAGACAGTATAATTACAGGTTAAAATTGTTTATATACTAACATGCTTATGACACCCTTAAAAAAACTGAAGGAAATCCTTAGAAAAATTTAACTGGGTGTTCACAATAACCCCAAAAAAGAAAAAATTAAAAACCATTGAATATCACTTAAATATCACCTCAACACCCTTTCCCCACAAACCCCCCCCAAACACCCCCCAACCCCCCCCCCCCGGGGGAAGGGCCACCCCGTTCATGCCCCTGACCCTTATAAAAGACCAAAAACCCCCAAAAAGAAACCCCTGTACCCCCCGAGAAACCCCTCTCCCCCCCCTCCTCCCTTTTTTTTCCCCCTGTTGCGACACTTTGTTCTATAAAAGGATGTGCTATGGCCTCCAACTTCCTCCCCCCTTTTCTCTCTTGCCCATGAATATACCAAAATCAACCATTAAGTAAGCCATCCCCTTTGAACCTTTCCCCAACCCCACCTCATCTAAATGAGCGCTCTAAAACCGAAACCCCCCCCCCCCCCCCCCCCCCCCCAAAAACGGATTACTTTCCCTAACCATTGAAAACCCCTAGGTTTCCCACAAAAATAAAAAATGAAAAGCTAATCATCTCCCCCAAAAACCTAAAACAAACCCCCCCCCCCCCCCCTTTATTCACCTATTTCGTAAAACAACCCCAGACGGCAATATTCCCGTAAAAAAACCTAACATTCCCCCTCACGGGCGGGCCGGATGCGTAAACCCCTTTTTAATCGACCCCAATGTTTCCCATGCGTCCCGGGGTACATCCTTTTTTTGGCCAAAACCACCCGGGCCATATCCCCCTCTCCATGGCCCAACCCGATTTTTTTTTTTGGCTCTCGCCATCATAAATAACGCAACAACTCCTCCCATCTTTTAAATTTTTTGCCCCTTCCACATCTCCGAAGATTCCCTGCAGCATCCCCAATCCACTCTTTCCCCCCGGCCCCCTTAGAAAACCCCTTTTTTTCACATTACCCCATTTCAACCTTTTTTCCCAAAATTTAATTAACCCCAGCCCCCCCAAGGCCCCCGGGAAAGTGTTACCCCCCCTTTTAAACCCAATCGCACCCGAACCCCGAAAAATGGAAACTCTGCCAACAATCTCCAAAAACCATCCCCATACACCGAAGGTACAAAGGGGCCACATGCCATATTTTACGTAAAAAACTTCCACAATGCCCCTTGGGTGTAGCGTAAGGGTGTCGGCCTCAATCCTGAATCCCCCAAAAACCCTACTAACACACCCTTTGAATTATTCCCCCTCACCTCTGAGCATACCATATACAAAACTCCAAAAATTTCACCCGTCCAGCACCCCCTCACCCCCCCCCACCCCCCCCCTCCTGCCCATCCCCTTCCCCAAACTCATGGCTTTGATTTTCACATTCACTGCCTCCTGTTTCCACCCAAAAAATCTATAACTCTCTTCCCCGGCCTCCAAACCCTCCCTCCCACTCCTAGGACAGTTTGTCATCAAGTAACTTTTTACGGGGGCTTTCCCACCCCGTATGTCCTCCCTTCCCCCTCCTGTATGCACCTTTCCACTGCCCATAAAACGGATTTTTGTAAACATGCAAATAATATTTTTTACAACGGAAAACCTTTCCTCAATCCCCCTGCCCATTTTCACAGAACCCCACCCCCCCTTTTCTGTACACACATCCCCCGCTCCCCCATATAAAGACCGCCCCAAAATTCACAAGTCCTCCCCCAACCCCTGCCACTCCTGATCCTCCCCAGAGCCCCCCTCTCGAAAACTCAATCCGTTCTCCAATCCAACGCCCAAAACCCCCTTCCCCCCCTTGCGAACCCCCAAAAAACCTTTTAAAACCCCATGCCCCCCCTACATTTCCCCCGGAATCCCTATGACCCTCACTAACCTTTCCAATACCTTTTTTATACGATTTCCCCAAAATTTTTTCAAAAAGTTTTTTCTGCACACATGAGTGAATATCCAAATCTCTCACTGTGCACTGACTTTTCACCCTTTGGCACCCAAAAATACTAGGCTGCGCCTGCAAAAGGGCCCAACCCCCCCTCTTTTTATTAAATAATTTGCAAAAAAAAAATCTTTTAAATTTCCCCAAAAGCGTATGTAAAAAAACCGCAGGGAGCCCATCATCCAGGTGCCTTTCCCCCGCTCTACCTTAAAAATGTCCCCCCCCTTTCCCCCAATAGGCCCCGTAATTTCCCGTCGTCCCCGTCCACACATGCACCCATCCCCCTTTTCTTTAAAGCCCCCTCTTCAAAACCCACATCCCCCATATTGCACTAAGCCAAGCTCACATACCCTCCCACCCCTCCCGTACCAATCTTTTTCCTCCCCATACCCCCGATTCCCCAGAATCTAAACCCACCATTTTTATTGCAACGCGCGGCGCCCCCGCCCTCGAGGAAAGACGCCGTGGGCTTCACCCCCCATGACTCCCCCCCAACCCCCCCAAAACCCTTTCCCACAAACCTCCTTTTGCACTTCCAAATTTGGCGTTCCTTTTACTCTCCCCATTCACCCCGGGCCCCATCCCCCCCCCTTTCTCTCATAATACTTTCCCCCCTTAAAACTGCCCCTCAAGATACCCAATAAGCCATAAGCCAACCGATTCTCGTGCCTTCCCGTTGGAATAGAATCTCGAATTGTCTTCGCCGTACATCCCACCATTCAACACACCCCCTTGATTCCCTCCCTTTTCCCCTAAGCCTTTTTACCTTTTTTCAAATAGGACCCCCCCTCAACACTTGAAGCAACCGAACATCAATTTCCCAAAAACTCTATACCTGTTCGGCCCACCCCCCATCCCCAAAACCCCCAAAACACTTATATAGAAAAAAAAGCATCCAAAAAACCTTCCATCCCCACCCCTGCTTTCCTTGTCACTATATCCCGTCCGCCGTGCGATACCCTGCCCCCACAAAGTGTTTCTGCACCCCCACCCCCCCCCCCCCCCCCACATCCAAACCCCACCCCGGTTAAAAAGTCCCTCAGAACGCCAGAACAATAACCCCTCCCTAGGCCCATCCCTTCGGCGTATAAAAAAAATTCCAGTCCCCCCCACCACAGCTAAACGGAAAGCGATTTAAGTGTACACCACACTTCACGACAAAACCATTCTTCACTACTGTCCCCCCCCGCCGGGCCCAAAAACACAAAAGATATTTCTTTCCCCATGTCCCCCTCCACTCTTTTAACCCTCCCCCCCCCCCCTCCCACAATGGTACAGAAACGGGCTAGCCTCCCCCCACCAAAAAAGCCCCCCTTTCAAACTCTTGATGTGCCGCATATACGTATACCCCTAAAACATCAACTACAACCCGGTTGTGGTTGTGCTCTTTCACAAAACTACACTACCCAACCTAATGACATCTCATGAAACCCTTCACATTCCCAGAATTTTCAGACCATTTTCATTTATAGAAGACTCTTGATTTGTCAATGGAGGTTTTCCTTACGTATTGCCCACCTTTTTTCCCCCTTTCCCTTTTACACCCTTGATCTTCAATCACCTTCTGTGATCTGCTTTCACATGCCCCTTGCCCCTGGACCCCGGTCCATGCTCAACCATTTTAGCCCAAAACCCTTTTTGCCCGAACGCTGTGCCGGGAGGGGAACATCCAATCGTCCACGTCCCCAGGGCACTGCCGCCTCCCTTTTCCCCTGACATCGAGCCTTTCTCCCCCCCCTCCACCTGGAAACCATCCCGTGCCTTCCGCCCACCCTGCCTTTGCAACCAGCCTCAACTGGGTCCGACATGCCTCCCCCCCCCTTCACCCCTGGAACCCCCGCAATCCAGGGGACCCCAAACCCCCCAACTGTGACCTTCCTGGGTCCCAACAGGCGTGGGGACTGAACAATGTAGCCTCCCCGGCCCGTCCTCCCCCTGACACCAACTTTGGGCTCCAATGCCTGCCCGGGAGTGCAGTCTTCGAAGGTTTCACACTTTCCTCCCTCAAGGCCTCCTCGACCTCCCACCCAAGCCTTGTTCAAGGAAAACCCACTAGTCGTGCCAAAATTTAAACGTCTAAGGGCCTTTAGCCCCCTTAGCTGTCCTTCGCCTGTGTACCCCTTTTTTAACACACGTGCAGCAATGTGATCATAGGCACCCCAAATCGACAGGTACGTTGTTGCCCGCTAAGTCACCATTACTTGGTCCGAAGTCTTCTAGGAAAAAAGGAAGGAAAAAGGGTGCCCCGTCATTTTTAAAAAAAATTCCTTCAGGCTCCCAAAAAACGATCCTTCCTTTCCTTTTCCCCCCTGTCCCATATGAACAGTCCCAAACTTTTCGAAGACGGCACTAGGGGCTGCCCTACCCAAAGGTACTTTTGATCTTTACCCACTATAATGGCGGGGGCACATCATGTAGCCTTTTGTCACTGCAGGGTTCATGGTACACAAAATCTTGGAACCTGGGGACTATTCCTCGTAACATTCATTGAAAATTTACAAATTTTAATGCCCCGTTCAAGGCTACACCATACAGCTCTTCGTTGGCAATGCCGTATGTGTCCCTGATGATGGCAGGTAATAAAACTTGAGCTGAGTGGGCATGCACAGCCCCACGCACCACTTCTATGCCGACAGTGTTTACCCTTCTTGCCTGCTGCGCCATTTTGAGAAAACCAAGTTGTCACCGGCTGACAGCAGAGGGCAGGCTCAGCTCACGTCCGCTCGTCCCATAGGTTGAGCGACGAATGTAGTGCCTATGCAATTATTAAATATGCTCTATGAGGAACCAGTTGTAAAGCTTAACCAGTCAGTCACCGCTACATGTGAAACAAAGGTTTAGGAATATGCACAACGAGTATCCAGAAATATTCTGTAAATATGGAAGATCAATAACCAGGTTCATTACTGAATGTAGAATAACGACTCTCTTAAGTCATCGTTCAATGATAATCTTTCAGAGTTTATTGACGTGGCCAGAAAGTAATTAAAAATGCTTAACGACTCCATAAGAAATTAAACGGGTGTTTGTAGTGGTTGGTATGCATTTTGAACATGCAAGAAGTCTTCTGTATGAGGCTCCTGCGAGGGAAAAATGCATCGTTGCATTTACGTAAGGCTTAATTACAAAGTAGCAAATATTGATTATTTAAATTTCCCAAGAGTTAAGTATATTTTGTATTTGAAATTAATTTCACATAATTACCGAAGGATAAAGATCAGAAATTGACACCACTTGCAAAATATATAACCTTAAACAAAACCACAATAGTTACACTCTAAATTAACTATTAATTACAACTTACTATTAGCAGAGGTAGACGAGAGAAGTTCCACGTACACGAACACCAACACAAAGCTCCAATTATGTGAGAACCACATCACCTTTTCCATGGTACAACAGGCCAATAATAATTCCTTGCACTTTAATAATCTTCACGAAGGTAACAATTTCACTACTAATATTAGATCACTACTGTGGACCATAAACTCCGTGTTAAGTGTGCGACGAGACTGGTAGCCTCTCACCAACAGTCCTTAAACACTGCTATTGGCAGGAAATTCACCAGTTGAACCCTCCTCTATCGAACTGGACTCATATCGAACTCACGTCTCACTGTAAACTTATTTTAAGTTTAAATTTTTTGTCAAGAATTTTTTGAAAGGAGTATTTATTTCATACACGTAGCGTATAATCTCTTTAGCATAACAGTAAGTATTTTATTGTATAGAGTAACGAGTAAATATTTAATACAATAAGTGGGAAAGCGCTAAAACCGGGTATCATCCTTTGGGGATTTTGGAATTATTATTTTATTTAAAAACGGAACAGATCATAATTCCCTAAAAATAGACTAACAACAAAGGAACTTCCAAGGGTTATAACCCCGATGGCAATAAAGAATTCTTATCGTAACAAAAAGAAAACTTAATGACAACAGGATACAAAGCTATATAAACTTTAATCAACATTAATGTTAATTTTAGAATTTTGAGCTAACATTTAACAAAGGCTGCAAAACATAATTCAAGATATAAAAAAAAAACCCGATTACAAAAAAATAGAAAAAAAAAACCTCAAGCATACATACTGTAAAACAAAACGTATATAAAAACAAAGCTACAAAAATCAAAACATCAATACCAATAACCAAATACAAACAAACATATCATATAACTTTAAATCAAACATTAAATGCCCATATTAGGAATGTACTGGAGCCTAACATTTAACAAAGGCTCAAAACGATATATAAAGAGTAACACAAAAGAAAATCCTGATTTCACAAAAAAAAAAAAGAAAACCCAAGCATATGCATACATGTACACAAACAAAACAGTATATAAAAATATTTTAATCTACAAAAATCAAACACATATCATGACCCCATAACCGATAATAAACATAACCAATTACATATACCATTAATAACATATGACTCAGGAATCGAGTCATTTTTTTTATATTTTATTTAAATACACTACAGTATAACAAGAATATGATACCTTGTGACCAAGGCCGAAATACATATAAATCATAACGCAAAGGATAAACATTACACGCACGTTAAACATATCGCGTATAAACAACAGAACATTAACTATAATATGGATAATACCCTATACCATAAACAATACATTATAAAACACACCACTACCTAAACATACACAATGCACAGCATATTATGTATATTTTATTAGAACCAGCACACATATACATATGGCTAGGTACACAAGGATAAGATAAAATGTGTGCAGTGTAAACATTAACTCAGCCGGACACTGCGCCAGGTCATGAAGACAAGACGCCATGTGTAACACAAAGCTTACCTAACAAGCAACCCACCAACAAATACATCAGGAATTAGTACAATGGGTGCAGCAGGCAATAGTATTGGCTCCATGCCTCCTATCCCCACTAACCCCCCCCCTCTCTCTACCAATAGAAAGTATCAGAACGCACACAATTATTAACCATAGGCCTGCATGTTTGCATTGAATATCTTTAGTACTAAGGTGAACGGCCACCACCACTGACATTACAAATATACACACTAAACGCACAGCTTACAGAACAAAGCTTGCTTTTACAAAAAGAAAATATAATTTGACAAACACAGCAGCAACAAAGCCAATCTAAGCACTCATTAATATAACAATGGTGTTCATATAACACAAGAATCCCAAAATGGCTAAAACACATAAAAACCACACCATACATTACAGTTGTAAGACACCCGCACACGCAACAATCATTCAGAACCCATCTGTATACAAATAGTATGATTACCAATAGTGACTTTATAAGTTTGTCATGTTCCCCCCCCACACATGCATACCGCTTCACCATAATAAAAGAAGCACAATATATACTGACGCTACAACACACGGCAAACCTCATACCTCATACCCAATACTCTCATAGCCTACACACCATAAAACACCATGTCTCTTTAACATATAAGAGGTGTAAATAACAAAAAAGGCACAATACCGTGACTGGAACGATACACAAATAACCCGCACATAAAAGAGAGAAGCTTACGACGACGTTTCGGTCCGACTTGGACCATTGACAAAGTCACCGAAACGTCGTCGTAAGCTTCTCTCTTTTATGTGCGGGTTATTTGTGTATATAAGAGGTGTTCCAGTCATACTCACACACACTAGCCCCCCCGGGGAGACCAGCCCGCCACATCCCCTGACCCCCTCCCCCTTGTTACATCCCAATGAGGACCCCCACCGTTAAACCACGATAGATTACGGGGAAATCCCTCTCCCACCTTATCCCATAAAGAACCCGATTCCGAAGCAGCGTACGATAAAAGGTTGCCGCCAATACTCTTTTATGCACCCCCCCCCTCCACCTGACCCCTCATTGCCCACGACACATACACAAAATCCACAATAAGGTAACCAAGTGCCTGCTGCACAGGGATTCCCACCCCTCCCACATCCAAACTTAGAGCCCGCAAGACCGAAATCCTCCCCCTCCCACCCATTGTACCACTCTCCCCATCCACTCACTTACATCCCCCAATCGTTCACAGAAATAGACTGCATGAAAGGCTGTATCCTCACCCCCACAAACTCCACAGACGCCCTCCTCACGAATCCTCCGGTCTCGAAGAACCGCACCTGATGGCAGGATACCATGCAGGATCCGGAACATCACCTCCCGCTCCACGGCCGGATGCGTAGCCTACACAACCTATCCCAAAAATCCTCCCATGCATACATTGGATACACTCCTTCCACAGCCGCCACTTCCCTTTCCTCCACCACTTTCTCTAAACCCCCCACCCTCATGTGTGTCGTATCCCTAACATACAAGAGCACCTGCAACATGTCCTCACACACACACAAATCCTTCCCTCCCTACCATCTTCTGACATCCTCATACAAAAGGTGCAACCCACCACCTTTACACCCCCCCACTCGGAGAAACCCCCTCTTTAAATATACACTCATAATCCTATTCTTTAAATTAATTAACCCCTGCCCGCCTCTGTGCACTGGGAGAGTAACAACCCCCCTCCGTAACCAATCACATCCCGACCCCCAAATAAACCTAAACTCTCCTCAATAATACTGCAATATCTGATTGCAACAAAGGGTGCAAAGTGACACATGCCAAATTTTACTATATAGTAAGACATTTACTACAATGACCCTCTGATGAAGCATTAAATGTCCCGGCCGCAACCCATCCAACTGTCTATTCACCCTTTCCACGACACTCCCAGAATTAACCATCCTGCATATACTCAATCCCACAAACCTTAACCCGATCCACAACACCCCACCTCCCACTACCCTCTCCCCCCACCTTCCCCTCCCAATCCCCCAACCCATAAACTTAGATTTCTCTACATTCACCCTCATGCCAGTCGCCTCTCCAAACAGGTCCACAATCCTCCCCATCCCTCCTAAACCTTCCCCCTCTCGCACAAGAATCAGAATCATCATGTCATCTACATAACCGGCAATTCCTGGCACACCTCGTCCCACCCACCCCTGTCACTCCCCCCTCACGCATACCTCCATCGCTCTATAAAACGGCTCCTGCAAACATGCAAAAAGTAGTTGGGATAAAGGACATCCCTGCCGCAGACCTCTACCCATAGGGATCCACTCCCCCACCCTTCCATTCACCTGCACCCAAACACCCGCTCTATGATACAACGTTTGCATCCACCTCACAATCTCATCCCCAAACCCTTGTCTCCTCAGTATCCACCACAACGCTTCTCTCTCGACACTATCATATGCAGCCCTCCAATCTAAGGCCAACACACCCCCCCTCTATTCCTTGCACACTCTCCACAAACCCCCGAATCACCCCGTGCCCCTCATACATGGTCCTTCCCGGCACCCCATACTGGCCCACTGCCACCACCCTATTGATCACACACTTCAACCTATTCCCCAGTATTTTAGCGAATAACTTATAATCCGCACACAGTAAAGAAATAACCCTATAGTCCTTCACCGTGTGCGGACTGGCCACCTTCGGGACCAAGACTACCACTGCAGTTGCTTGCAAAACCCCCAGCTCACCCCTTTTTTTCATCGCGCTCAACAACCTCACCAAGAACTCCTTAAGCATGTCCCAATTTTGTAAGTAAAACTCACATGGCAGACCATGATTCCTGGGGATTTACCTCTACTCATACCCGATAATGCCCGCCACACCTTCCCTTTGTCAATGTCCCCTCCCAGTGCCATACGGTCCCCCCTGCTCAGAACATTGACCACATGCTCTCCCAACTGCCCTAACCCCCCCTGCACTCCACCACTCCTCAAAGAAGTCCCGAACCATTCATCCACATAACAACCCATCCCTTCTGTCGTACGAAGCACCTGCCCCACACGAAAACCTCCAACCTCCTCCTGCACTAACAAACATTCCATCTCTGTAGCCACCTGACATTTCCGCTGCCCCCGCAGAACACACGCTGACGGCCTGTCACCCCACAAAACTTCTTCTAACCCATCCTTAACCCGCACCGCATCAAGCTTTTGATTCTGCAATTCCCTGATGCGTTGCTTCAGTCCCTCTATTCCCTCCACAGGATAGCCCCTGCCCCCACCCCTCTCCCATAACAATCCCTCAACTGCCCCTCTAAATATCTTATAAGCCCAAAAGTCATCTGAGGCTACCCCTTGCCCTGTCTAACATAATACGCCCTAATCCTCCCCTTTGCCACTCCATCCCACCATGCCAACATATCCCCAACAGCTTCCCATCAACCACAACTCCCTCCACAATCGTGCAAACCCCTCCCTCCCCCCTCCATCTTCAAGGAGATAAACATTCAATTTCCAAAAACTCCTATGCTTCTTAGACAACCCGTCCCACCCTACTTCAACAATTACCACCCGATGATATGATATGCTACGTCCACCACACACACCCTTTCCACCCTTGCAGTCTGTGTTACATACAAACGGTCCAGACGAGCAGCATACCCTTGTCGCACAAACGTGTGCTCCACCTCCCACGCCTCACCTGTAGCCACATCCCACAACCCCGCCCCTCCCAAAAGATCC